ATATTTTTTAATACACGTTTTCCTTATAAAAGAATAAGAAACGGTGTCTCATCTTGATAATTTTACGCATATAAGAGTATAATGGTTCCAGTAGACAAAATGCAAACTCCACGATTACCCAGCACATCACAACCTCAACCAGCACCGATAACGTTCGTACTGTAGCAATAGCAGCTGCAAATGTAGGTGTACAATATCACGACACAGACAATATGGTATCCACGATTGTACTTGAAGTAAGATAATAGTTTCTATTCTCTCAGAGTCGCTTGTGATTTCGCAGAAATGCGAATTACATTTGCCGTTTCTAATTGTTTGTTGCAGAAGCCAAATATTCCTCTGCGAGATATGATCTCTGATGACGACATTGTTACCACAAACAGTCACTTGATGTAGATAATATTTAAGTTGGATTGAAAAAAGGAACAAGAATTATGTGTCGGTGATTATATTGAACATCTACATTTTGTGTGTGTAAATATTCTTGGTGCGATGTATAATATAAGTGTAATTCATATGATGAAATGTGTAATTTTTCGATATAAAACTGTACATAAAGTATTCCAGATTACTGTTTACTTTAAATTTCTCGGTGGTTTTAGATATTTTTAAAAATAATTAATGATTATATTATTGAAATAAATCCTATTCGAATTTATAAAAATAAAAATAGAAAATATTCATATCATAATATTAGATATCAATTTTACATTACAAATTTATTACAAAATGTTTATATTTTTTTGTTATATTTCAACATTTAAAAATCTAAGGTTTATTTGAAATTAATTGCAGAATATGAAAAACGAATATTTAATGATATATAATATATCACTCTAATATATAATATATCACAAAAAATATATAGCGTTAAAGAAAATGAAAATAAATAATTACGTTCAACAATTTTGTTAAAGAATGGAAAATTAATTAATTTTTAAATTAGAAATTATCAAAAAAATGTGCATTTTGTCGTGTGGAGCACTTGAGTATGTATACATATAATATGTGTATATATGTATATATATATACGCATATGTATACACATACAATTTTCAATTATATATATACAATATATACACACATTTTATATATATATATATATATATATACATGCATAATATCAGACAGTATTTTCATTTTTATATTAATTTTACTGCATTGAAATAGATAATTGAGTTTTTGTTTATAATATGAATGAATTAAATATGTATATGAAATTAATTTTTAAGCACAATAAACTATAAGTTAGTAATGTAATTCTATTATAATGAGAATGCATTTTTTTAAAGTTAATTTCATCAAATTTCATGAAGTCTTAATATAACTATCGATATTGTGAAGTAAGGGATTGAAATCATAAATTGTATATATAATATGTGCTGGGTATTTTTTTTTTTAGATTTGATTAAGGTGTTCCTCTCTTTCACATGCCTACATACGTGCGTGCATGCATTATATACAAAGTGTCTCATAATTCGCGAATCACTTCTTGTAAACAGGTAGAGCGAGTTAAATCGAATCGAAAAGTTCTGTGAATATTGCTATTTTTGCTATAAATAAGAAAATCCGCAAATCAAAAGAGGGCTTTGTAAAAAGACAATGATTTGTTTATAGAGCATTTTATTTTCGTGCCCCTAGAAATCATAAATGCTGGACTATCTATTGTCGTGGAATCATATATGATTTGGGGATATTTATTAATTTTTCATTGCAAAAATTGCAAAATGAGAATGTACAAAATTTTTCAATTTAGATCTATATGCTCACGAGAGATAATCCGCGAATATAAAACATGTATATCTTATATATAAATATATATATCTAATTTGTGCTATGACTAAAGGATATAAAAAAGATAAGTTCCGTGCTAATTTTATGTATAATTTTTTATCACTAGCATGCCATCATTTAAATCTTTTTCGTGTTAATTGAGGGGATGGACGGAATAAAGGCACAATTCTACTTCGGCCCTTTTTCTAGCAATTAGCTTTTTCATGTAATATTGATCGTAATAGAAAAGTATTGTAACATGTAACTTCTTAAAGACATTACATAAATTCATTCGATACTGTACTCATTTGTGTATAATAAAAAAGTAGCAAGTTATTTTAATTTTTATTAATATCAAGATTTTACAATTAGGCCTTTATTCCACCTATCCCCTTAATTATAGTACTAAAATTTAAGATATTTAAGTATCTAATGTTTTTGTGTTACTTGTATAATTTTATTTATCTTAAAATTTTAAGTTTTAAGTTAATCTAAGTTGAATTATGATGAGCGAATACATTTTAAATGTGTGAGATGATTTGAGCAACAGAAAATTATAAAGATTAATTATCAATTGATTATTTGAGCAATCTGGTAATTAATATGTTCGCTAAAATAATTTTCATATAATTGTGGAATATGAATTACACATGTGAAAGTATTTAGCGAATCTGTTACATATGAAATATCAAATATTCATATTTGTTGGAAAATATTTTGTAAAATGACATTAGACTTGAATATGTAAATAATTATGTGAAAAGTGAGTTCTGTCAATTATACAAGTAATATTATGGTCTAACATTCTTGTATTGATATGAATGTGCCCGCGTGTGTATGTATGTGCGTATACATATACATACATAGATATATGTATATAATTATATAAATGATGTATGAGGTAATTAATTGATTTATCCCAAAACTATATGAAATTGAAATTGAAAATGTAATTATGGATATATAATATGAATTCTGTTTTCCAACAATTTGCATATTTATTTCATTTATACTTTCATTACTTTACATGTAACCTCCCTCGCCCTGTAAATCCCGAGCTCACTTGTAAAATCGTAATTTAAAAATAATTTAGAATATTTTTTCAAAAAGAGTTAAATTTTGTTTCAGAGGGAATATCAGTGAACATTCCAATTCACATACTCAAGATCTTTTATTTAAGTTTTGCAATCCAGATGCGTGATCTCTCATATTCGGTGATCGGCTTCGTAACATGATGTTTTCTCCTGCAATTCCAATTGTGCCCATATATTCGGAATTTCCGGTTCTGCAAAGGAAACAGTATTTTGAAATTGTATTTCGAATTAATATAGATATTGCGTAATTTACGCACGTCACTCGAAGAATTTCTCTTTCTTTAGGATTAGGATCCAAATTATTGCGCGATTTTAAAATTTTTGATGGTTTTATCAATGCTTTCGTTGCGATTATCCATGGATTTCGATATGTACGTTTTTGAATTGTTTCGGGTATAATCCAGTTTTGCGGCAATGTTATTTCTCTGCGACGATGATCTGATTGTGATCAAATATTCATTTGTACTAATATGATAGAAGCTTAAATAAATAAGTAAAACTAAACGGTACTGCTTATGTAATGTTCGCTTTTTTCCAAAGATACAAATATTAACCCTAGCTATACACACTTTTTCTATCCTTGATATACACACTCGGATCCCTGGAATCCCATCCATATTTGTTACCGTAACTTCCATAAAAATGGACATATTTCAATTAATTTTTTTACATATACACATACAAAAAATTTTCACTTTTCACGTTTTCACCCTAGGGAAAAAGACACATAATCGATACCCTGAACGCAGCCAATGACACGTAAGGGTGCTTCGCCATAACAGGGTGAAAACGTGAAAAGTGAAAATTTATATATATATATAAAATATTGTAATAATTCTGAAATTCCAACTGTTATGAGGTACCCTAAATCATATCTTATTACGACTAATCGTCTTTAGGATCCCCTTAAAATCTAAAAAAAGACAAACCTAATACAACTCATAGATCACATAGATACGCCTTTCCCGTTAGATAGAAAGATACAGGTGCATTATATCTTCTATCTTTCGTTGTACCAAAAAACGACACGCATGCTCGAAATGACATACATATAAGAAATGATCAACAATTTCAAATATATTACACAGTGTGTGATATTTTAATCGATATAGATTATAATTGATGAAATCTTGCGAAAATGATAAGACGGATACATGTACATACATTGAAGCTATATGGTGTATATTGATGGAGGAAGACTGGCAATATTTCCTTTCACCGTATAAGTACTTAATGAACGAATATGTTTTAAAATGTAATAAAACATAATTGAAGTTTATACATAATATTTATATGACATTACGCCCGAGTTTGCGCAGTAGTTTCATTCTCATAAAAGGGTAGAAGATATGTTATACTCTCTCGCTCTGTCAACTCGGTCCACTGAGGGTGGATTATTGTCTATCCTAAAATAAGGCAAAAATTACAAAAGTGAACAAATTTACTAGAATACTCATAGGCCGGTATTCATAATTTCATAGTCAAATCTTATATTCAAGACCGTCTTAAGAAATCACGAACCAATCAGAGGGCCGTCTTAAAACATTACTTAAGACAATCTTGAAATAAGAACGGATTACGAATGCCGCTCATAATTTAATTGGTCGACACTTAGTGAATTTGCTCATTTTCATCTCATTTCAAGATACACAATCAATCCCCTGATTATAGCCACAAGGCGTATCCATTGTTCATAAGATCCTACACGCAAAAAATATTTTGCTGCTCCAGCTAGACTTATACTTTTTTGTATCTAAAAATTATGTATCATACATAGAATTTACAGCACAAATCTGAATTCTATCTCTGTTATCTATATGATTAGATGCAATACATATCCAATATCGCAGTACTTGCCAGAAATTTATCTATTCTAACTATTTTTCGTACTTAGATAATTTTTGCTGTAACTGCGAGATTACTTTTTTGAGTGTATAATACAACTGTACACGCGCGCACACACGTATGCACATACACACACATTTCGCCAAAAGGACTTACTTCGACAAAAGCACGGATGTAGATATTAGGTTTGTTTTCCCAATAAGATACGGGCTACGGTCTACTTGTTGATATTACAAATGTTTCGAAATATTTTTGGTCAGTAAAATTCTTTTTTTCAACTGGTCAATCAAACGCTTCCAAACTATTTGTAGGTTTTATCAAGAGAAAACAAAATAGTTATGTGATATTTTGCCACATATTTGTAGCATCTTATCTGCCACCGTTTCCCAGTAATGGTCCTTTTATCTGTTTGTAACGTACGTGTGTGCGTGCGTGTATTCATATACGTTTACACGTATATTATAGATATAATGATTATAAGCAATGAATGACCCTTTTGAAATTCCTTTGAATAATCCTGTTGATATATAGTTTTCATAGATTTCTCCTTGTTGTTTTTTATCACGATCTCATCTGGCACGATCTTCGGTAAAGCATTTCTTAAGTGGGGAAATTTGTCTCGTATCTATTTTCAATGATGTACGTTCAATGATGTATGTTCAATTATGATAGCATACAATCACGACTATAAAAAGATTTGCATTTTTACTCTGTTTAAATTGTCGACTGGATCTTCGCTTCGTTCGTTCTCAGATAGTAACCGATTTTCCAGTCGTGTGTGCAAATATTGTTTGTACGGTCTATTCAAAATGTTCGAGGATGGCAAATATTTTGGTAATAATTTGTGCATTGTCGTCCTTTTACCTCTCTTTCCAAGATAATGTTTCTTATAAATCGTCACAAAATCTCGTAAGTTATCAATATCTTCAATTTCCATCGTGTGAATTCGAGCAATTATTTTTTTAAATTTGATAAAAATTTTCTTTTTATAGAAATTTGTAAATATTGCCAAGAAAATTATTTGCCGTGTCAAGCAAAATAATAATGCAATTGCTGATGTAAGCAGCAGTCACTCCAATGTATTTGGTTATTAGTTTGTGATGAAGCAACAAATTTGCTTCGTGTGTCAAATATCGCAAAACAATAACGCTTTAATCGTTTTACTGAATGTATGTACTATATATATATTACATACACACCAGTATACACGAAGTCGCAAATTCTTTAATATACGAAGTTGTATATGTATCGAAGCATATTCAGAGCGCATTCTCCGTCTCTAGATATCTCTGCATTATGATTGTTGATTATTCGACGGAGTTGCTTTAATATATTTTAAGATTATTTTGGAACAATATCTTAAATAAATAAATAAACACAAAAATATAATATTAATATCCATTATTATATATATACATATATGTAATATATATACATAAATGTACATGTATATAATACATATAAATAATTCCTAAAATAATATACAGGGTGTTTCCAAATTAAATGGCAAAACTTCGGGAGCGTGTAGAGGAGTAAAAAACTAAGAAAAAAAGTCCTATAGACATATGCTCGTTT